GTCTGATTGCAGCCATTTTTCAAGTGGCAACCCTCAACTTTCTCGGGCACTTAGGACCATTTTTCAACCGTAGTTTTTAGCCCTTTTGCTTTCATATGAAAGCTCAAAGACCCAGGGAGTTGATCCTGGCAACGATTTACACAACCTCACCATTTTGGGGGCCAAACAATCTCCTTTTTCAAAAGATACTGTGGGGGGCACTTTTAATGCTAATGAGCTGGTCAAAAATTCTCACTTGTCTGCACCCCTATACAATCAACTCGGTCTTCCGCTAGTTCTGTTGTGAGTTCAATAGCATACCATCGCTGATTATATTATAGAGTAAAGGATGTGTCATTTTCGGAACACAATTACGCTATTCAAACTCCAAGGCTGGAAGCCCTGGTCTGACCACGGTGCAGTGATTCTGAATGGCGGTTCAGCATAAAAAACTGCTCTATATCCGGGTTGTTCAAAATTTTATAGATCCCTCCAAAACGGTGGTAGGTGGGAAGGTACATAATTATGGTTTAATGAGTTAAAGCAACCTGTGACAACTGTCACTCTTGGAGTACATGTAATTAACTTTAAAACGACCCAAATGTTGACGGTGCATGTCTTTATTTTTCTACCAACAGTTATTAAACGAATACTTGATACTTCTCTATTAGAATTCGGTTCCAATCACATGTTCCTTCTGTTCGTCTTTGTTTTCCTTTTCTTCCACTTGCCCCTCATCATCAACTTCCAATCCTTCATTGTCCCTGCCTTCCGGTTCCGCCTCCGGCACCCCTTCTTCAACGTCAGGATCGGTCTGCACCCCTGGGCACAGCCCGGGGAAGCGCAGGATGGCAATCCGGTACAACTGCAGCGAAATGATCACGACGTTCTTGACCGTGAAAAACAGCATCAGCTGATTAACCGTGCCGCTGACGATGATGAGATAGAGCCGAACAATCAGGAACGGGCCGTCCTGCATGACGATGGCGATACACAGGGTCCAGATCTCGCTGCCACAGCAGCCTCCGAACACCCCCGAGACTACAGATTTGCGTCGTCGCTTGGCTGCCGGTTGGTCAGCGGCGGCGGACACCGACGTCCTCACCAATGTAAACTGACCCAGACTCCAGCTCCAGATGAGGAGAATGACCGTGATGAGCGCGCGGTTGCAGATGACCGTTTCCTCCCCCAAACTCTCCCCGAAGAACTCCAGGATGTCTGCACCCATGGCGATGTACACGAGCAGCAACTGGGAGAGCTGGTCGCGGGTGAGTGATCCCTTGGGCAGCAGCCATCTTCCCAAGATCAGGAGGATAATTAGGACTTGCTCCAAGGTCACAGCCCAGTCTTCGTCTGACAGGGTCACAGGGACGACCAAATTAAACTGTATGGACGATAAATAAACGAGAGTTTCACTCTGTAACTCGTAAAGTTAAATGGGGCGATTGTCCTCATATTTTCTGTAGGCCTATATCTCCCTTTGTACCATCTTCGGCATATTTCTTGCTGTCATGATAGAAAAGATGCAGTCCGTCAAATCGAGATTTTGGGCTCGCACGGTAGGACGGAGAATATCTCTTTAAAGACCGTATAATCTTTGAAATTGGACCCTTTTACCATATTTGGAGTCACAAATAATATTACCTTTTCCCATGTGAAATTTTGGACAATTTAACGTCGCCATACGCCTCGATTAAGCGTTTTCCAACTGAAGTGTTTCCTTTCCACTTCCTTACATTTGGTCATATTAGGCGATGTGGGATACGGATTTTCAAACTATCCTGATGAGGAGGACGATGAGTCTTTCTTTCGTGGGGATCGCATTTCCGATATCGGGCTTCTCGGGAGAAGAAAAATTATAACATTGGTAGTATGCGTCGTGGTTAAAATGGGTGTGTGTGTGTGTTTCAGCAAACCCTAAATTTTACTCAAACTTGGTTGCTGCCTGGACATAAAAATGTGTGTTTTTCCTGAAGCTGTCCAGAAACACTTTGGGAGCGGAATCTAAGTACGACCCATTAGCCTGGAAAGTTATGTCAATGAAAGAGTATGGCCCATGGTGAGCCCTACCTTTCTGGGTCATTTTTTTCCTTTTTTTTTTGCGGGGAAGGTCACCTATTTCTGGAAGCATGACGTAAATTTAGTCAAGCGCACATCTATTAGAGTTCGTTTGAACAACAACGCGAACAACTCTTCCGCGTGCGCTTCACTCCAACATAATGAATGTCCATGCACTGATTAGGGCAGCAAGTAGGCCTAACTCACAAAACTGAGCGGGTCTATAGCTCTGGCTGTACATATGGCATGCGCCCTACCGCCCTGAAAAGGCGGCGTGGACGAGTAGGTCAAATCTGACCCGTTTACTTTTAGAGAGCATCCTCTGGTGCAGTGTTTGGCGAAAATGCGGGTGCTTCCTTACATTTTACTGGCGCGCATGCATGCACTTTTGTGCATGCAAACAGCGTTTCTCACCATCCAAACTCTGCGCTAGTATCCAACATTCACCATCCTGATATTGCTTCTGCTAGCATGTCGAACTTGCTCTTAAAATCTCTCTCCACCCGTTACATTCTACCATTACTCACCCCCCCCCCCACGTACACACTCACTTTCCCATACTGATGTCTTACCCCTACAACATCAAAGCTGAGAGACGTTTCGTTGTACATAAAATCTCCCGAGCAATCTGTCCAGCCCATCGATTCTCGATACGCGATGCGTTTGTCGTACAAGTCGAATTGCAGCAGCCACAGGCCCGGCACCACACTAGCCAGATACAGGAGAACGCTGGGACAGAACCTGTTACCAGAGAAGCAAAAGTGTACTGTTCACAACTGTAACAAATTCCACTACAACTGTAAGATGTAAACAGAACAAGGTCTGTTTTCTTCCTAGGAAAATCAACCGTACTTGTGTTTACCCACCACTTCCATTCGCCGTCGTCGGCAAATTTCAGCGTGGTGATCATCTCCACGGGCACCAGACAAACCGGGATGACCAGCAAATAGTATATCTCGGAATTCACCTCCGTGACTCGCCAGATGGTGATGATGCCATGGATTGCGAACAGACCCCGGGCCAGCAGGGCCTTCAGAAAATTCATTTTCGCTTTCATTTTTTTGCCGGAATGATGTACATGTAGTTTGTTCACATCGATGGTGTGAGGCGACTGAGTTTGATGTCGTGTGTACACCGCAGGCTGTTAAAACTACTAATGGTCTCGGTAATAGAACTCAGCCTATCGCCTGATGCTCTGGCCTCGATATCCAGTTCGAAACTGTTTACCAAACAGCCGCCGGATCCTCCAGTTTTTATAGAATTCTTTTACAGCAATGGAGCTTTAAAGGTTATATCAGTGAAACACTCTGGTTAGCACCCATGACTAGAGGCAGCACAATAGAATCACTGAAATGCTTTTGTATTGCTGTATTTTATGACGTCATGGCATTATACAACACAGTCCTTTCCGCTGATGCTACTGAAAAAAAGGACTGTTTTCATTCCTGCCCACAATAGGTGCCTCTCAATCCGGATCTTTCAAAGAGCAAGAGCTTACACGGGTGTATCCTAAGGGAAAAACTTCTTTCTGAATTTTTTTCATCTTCCATCACTGCATAATTGAGGAAAGTACTTAACTCAGCAATTGTACGTAGATTGGCACAGTTTATACGTCCGATTTTTGACAGGAAAAAGTCCACATATTTCTCCGGTAGGCATGGAGCACAGTGCTCTGAAACAGACAGGCAAACTATCAACTTTCAAACGCCGTGGTCCAACTTTCACATGTTGTGGTTCAACTTTCAAACGCTGTGGTTAAACGAACGATCGTTGGAAAAATGACAGCATGACTGACAGCATTCCAGGCGGGAAGATTTCACAGATTGGTTGACACTGTTATTTACTTAGCTTAAGGTAATATATTTTATGGCTGTCAACGGTTCCCAGAGTGAAGGGGTTAAAGAAAATCCGACAGTCCCGTGTTTGAGATTTTACAAATGACACTGCAGCCGGTAAAAGGAGCAATAAAATATGTGTGATGTGGTGTGTATCGGAGGAGTCTGTATTAATGAGTAAAACAAAAACGGAAAACACATTATTAAGTTTAAAAAATGTAATTAGTAGGCTGAAGTATAGAATCTGGATTTACTTGAATAAAAAAGTGTTTTTTTTTCTCAGGCAAATTATATCACTATCTCTTTCAAATGTGGTATGGCCCAACATCGAGCAACACAACCAGTCTGTTTTGTATGGAATTCCATATCTGCCGTCGCCCGTCGCTTTTTGCTTTTTGTTGTGTCCCAGTTCTGCCATTTACCAGTTCCAAACATGCCATTTTCCGTCGTGCGTCGTCCGTCGTGCGTCGTCCGTCGTGCGTCGTCCGTCATGCGTCGTGCGTCGCCCGTCGTGCGTCGTCCGTCGTGCGTCGTCCGTCGTGCGTCGTCCGTCGTTCGTCGCCCATCAAATGGGTTGCATAGGACATGCAAAAGCCGTTGTTTAACAAATGACAATGTGATGATTCCATTCACTTCTAAAGATCTTTTCCGAATAAGGCAAGTACAAATCCCACCTGAAAAGCATATACTAGTCACATAATTAATTCCAATAATGCTAGACGACCCCTGCCCCTTGACAAGAAAATATCGCCTCTCTGAGAATTCAACCAAGTGTTATTTGGGGAAAAACATTTTCAGCAAAAATGTTCCGGCCAACTTATCCACAGTGTTATTCTAATTTGCATACTGTAAAAATGTGCCGACTTGTTTTCTTCAAATTCCAGGAAGAAATCTGCCAACCGATACAGATATTCTATCTTGTCCCCTCAATTTTACCTTGAAATCCAGAAATACTAGACGTGCTGTGGATAACAAACTGTTTATTAAATGTATTGTTAAGGGGCAATTACCACTTGGTT